AGGGCTTTGGAGTCACGCAGCGGTGTGTCCGAGTCCAGACTCTGATATTTAGAAAGTATACACTCACAGTCAAGTTTCCTAACTGGAACATCAGTTTCTTTTCATAGCTTATGGGGTAGATTTTGTCAGAAATGGTGAGAATATTTTTAATGTGTTTAGAGACCGTATGGATTCAATGAGTGGTCGTCTTATTATAGTCATTGTCCTAATGGGTTTTAGAATTTGCCTTTGTGCCTGACTGGAAACTCCTTCCCTCATCACCTTTCAGGTAGACCTCCTATCAGTCCTTGAAGAGCCTGGTTGGAATATCAACTCTTTTCACACTTTCTGTGGTTCAGTTTTGCACTTTCTTGTATCAATGGCTTCAAGGTTTTTGTCTCTGTAACTTGGATTTCTTGTGGAATAGTGAAAAGTACCAGGAAGACTTGGATTTGAGCTCTGCCAGAGAGGTAGAGAACTCAGAGAAGTAGAAACACTGTGAACGCAATGGAGTAAGGGGTGTGTTATGGGAACAAGAGCTTATACAATTGTGAGGGAAGCCGGGGAAGTTAGTTTCTGGAATAAGGAATGGGAAGATCTGAAAAAAGACACTATTAACCCCCTGAGGTCTTTGGCAAGTGGGTGGGCAAGTTGAAGTCTACAGGGGAAGCTGGGAAGACAGGCATGGCCAGGTGCAGGAGGGGGACCATAAAAGGACGCTGGCAGGAAAGTCAGTGGAAAGCTGTGGTCTTTGCGTGGCTGCTGCCTTTGTAGGTCCACATTCAGGCTTTTGTGAAGTGTGTGGGGGTACCATTGCTCAGGAGGGGAATGAATTTGGAAGACCTGAATGTGAAGTGAGGGAGAGCAAGGACATACTAGAACCTTCTGGGACTTGGTACATGTCAACACACAGACTGCAAAGGCCACCAGAGAGGAAGGTGCTATGTTCCTTGGGTGCAGCCTCACTGTTTTCTCAATCTTGCACAAATTCCTCTCCTCACTTGAATACAAGGAAGGGCATCCTGGGAAATGTAGTTCCAGCTAATCAAGTTGACACAGCACAAACCACCACAGTCACTTAGTGGTTATGTGGGTTGTATGGGGCAGTTTACTTAACCTGTCTGATCCTTTCCTTCCCTATTGGTGCATTGATGTAAAAGAGATAACAGTTATAACCACCTCTGCAGGGCTTTAGAGGATTAAATGAGATAATAATGTAAACAAGGCATTACTAAATATAAAGATTATGTATCAGATTGTTGTTATTAGATACATTGATTCATTTAGTTAACATGCGTCTACTGGGGGCTAGGAACTATCCTATGCCTGGAATGTATGGCAATGAGTTAAATAGACAATATCCTTGTTATCATAAAGCTGAATCAGACACCAATTAGGTATCAAGTGGAGAGCCAGTTGACCGACTGGATTTCAGAGTACAGCCCTACATTAAAGTATACATTTGGAAGTTATTACTATTTAGGTAACATTTAAAGATGTGAGTCTGATTTAGCCCACCTAGGGAATGCATGTAAATTTAGAGAAGAGGCCCAGAGATTGAGATCTGAGGCACTCCAAAATTTCAGGGTGAAAAAGCAAAAGAGGAACAAGTAATAGCTTGATAAATAGCAACCAGAAATGCAGAGGAGAAATAATAGACATTGGTGTCCTGGTAGCTAAATGTAGAAAGTTTTTGAGAATGTGAAAGAGATCAACGTTAACGACTGCTGAAAAGCCATTTGATACGATAACTGACCGTTCACCATTGGTTTAGTGGCATGGAGATAGCAGGATAGAATAGGTTCAGGACAAAATGAAAGGAGAAGACATTCTTGGTGCCAAAGAAGCTAAAAAAATAGGGCAGAAATAAGCGGAAAGTGTGTCAAGGGAGATTTTATACATGTCTATACCTACATATAGATAACTTATGCAAGATAATCTAGATCTAGACCCAGGTATAGATATAGATGTTCTATCTATACGATGGATGGATAGATGGGGTCCCATGCATCTGGGGTGTATTTTATATCTCATGTATAAAATATACAAAGTTGGCTCTATTCTATATGCTAGTTTGTTGATTGATAAGAATGGTCCATCAGTGCTGAGCACGGGCAGGGCCCCCTTCGTCTAGCGATGCAAAGGAGAAACCTTGCTTCCTTCAGGAAGCTGAGTGAGCATACCCAATTATTCATTCCAAATTTATTAATCCCATTCACGCCAGCTTTCCAGAAGTAGACTGAGCAAAGAGGAAGAGAGAGGGGCTGAAGGCGGAAGAGGTGGGTTCCGGGTAGAACAGAACGTTTAGGAAATGTTAGAGAAAAAAACAAAAATGAAATGACAGTTTTGGCGAAAAACAGCATACTTTCCAGAGCACACAATGGAGAAACTTGGGGAACTGGGGAAGAGCGGGAGATGGGTCAGACCAGGGTGTGTACAAAGCAGTTTGGGATGGGAACCTTTGCCCTGTAGTACTTCGAACAGAGGTTAGAGAACTGTTTGTTCCTTGGGTGAAACCTGCCTGCCCAGATGGGACTGGGGCAAATGCACTGGGCCACATGGCTCTGGTGACACAACCAGGGGTCGCTTCTATTCTGTGTGCAGCTAGGATGTTGAGAAGGGGCTGTCTTGATTATCCTGTCTCTCTCTCCCCCACACCTGGCCCAGCTGAGGAAAGAAAGAAAACTTGATATTTATAGCTTCCCAAATCTGCCCCAGAAAGCCAGAGACACAAGTTTCTTTACTATAATTGGGGCGACAGTGGTTTTGCTTTTTCATGTCGTTCCAACCCTTACAGCGGAATTAATGCCATCGACTTGGAGGAATAATTCTGGGGGATCAGCACCCTAGGGCCTCTCGGAAACCTGCGAGCAGGTGGGAGCAGGGGCGGAGAGGTGGGTCCTCTGAGCACCTCCCTTGCAAGAAGGCGGCGCGCACGGGGGATGGGTGGCCCTTCGGTTTCACAGGTGGCGAGGCTTCCAGCTCGAGTGGGCAGCCTCCAAATCGCTTCCCATTGCTCAAACTTAGGACGAAGCCGACAAAGCCGCAGGCGGCGGGCCGCAGGGCTCCATCGGTCCTGGCCAT